CCCCCCCCCCCCCCCCCCCCCCCCCCCCCCCCCCCCCCCCCCCCCCCCCCCCCCCCCCCCCCCCCCCCCCAAACAGTCATATGGCGACAGCTAATGAGATTGCTACACCAGGCCCGGACAGCGAAATGTCACAGAAACGGCTCTCGGTGACGGAGCGCTCACCGCGGACCAAAAGTGGAAATGGGGGTGGCTGCGATGCGGCGTTTGGCCCTTTGCGCGCACGAGACGAAGTGCATGCGGCCTTGGGGGCTTCGTTGGAGGGGTCATTTTTTTTTTTGGCAGGGAATGGCCGGGCGTTTATATGTGCATCCGTTAGCATTGAGCCTGAGCTCGGCCTCCTGGGCTAATGGCCAAGTTGCACCAAATCGGGAGGGGGCGACGGCCACGAGGAGTCGATTCAACTCGCAAACTGCTCGGAGCACACAGGAGGGAGTGTCGAGGTAACCAACACCAACGCCAGCTGGACGCCCGCCCTAGGCTGAGCTACCGCGAACGGAGGACTGCCTTGGACAAGATTGGGAGGCCGTGGCTGGTCGCACCGCTGATGACGGGCCTGTGAGGGGAGGGGAGGGGAGAGGAGGGGAGAGGAGAGGAGAGGAGGGGGGCGTGTCGCTATGAAGGTTGAACAGCCTCACCACGGCACAAAGGTATTGGATGTTCCTTTTCCCTCCTCCAGAACAAAGAGGTCGAGGCCGTGTAGGTACTCGTTCGTACCCGTGGCATCGCATATGGCATCGCATATGGCATGGCGTGGCGTGGCGTCGCGTTGGGTCGATGCGGCTCTTGGATGACACGCCCATTTCCATTCCCATCACGCAGCCTTGTTTGTCGTCTCGTCATGCAACCGCGTTTGCATTTGCATTTGCATTCGCATTTGCATTTGCACCTCTTCACGTCATGGCTACTGTACGACACCCGACTCTTACTGCTACTCGCACATCGTCTCCTGGCACGCAAGGGATGTGCGCATTTCTCTCCGCCCATTGCCAGGCTCGCACCTCGCCCTTGGCCTGTCTTGACGCAAACCTGGCATGCGGACGAGCCTCGTCGCATCATCTCACCCAAGCAGACGTGTCCAGATCCCAGCTAGATGCTCAACTGCGCGTGGCTAGCGCTAAGCTGCCTGGAGCTGCCTGGAGACGCACCGATGCAGAACCCGCACCAGGCACCGAATCGCACCGTCGGTAAGCAAGCATTTCTTTGATCTCATTTTCAACCAACCAACCACATCAACACAATGGTCTTTTCCTTTTGCCCTGGCTGCGCGATGATAAAAACTAGTGAGCTTTTTAAATCTGAGCTGATCAGGAAACGACGAAGCCGAGCCCCAGCGCTCTGGTTCCCGACTTTCCGTGTATTGGTCACCATGATTACATTGTTGAACTTGATCTAATCTGACAGCCTCCCGTCCCACTTCACTTTGCCTGCCGGTGCTTTGTCGAATCGTTTTCTAATCTCTCCTACTATAGTCCGCAGCCCGTACAGCCGCTTCCTCCTCGTGCTGGACAGGAAAAGCGACGCCACGGGCCATGCATGAATCGCACCGTCGAACCGCCGAGCTTCGATTTCAACCTTGCCGGCGCCCAACCGCCCCACGAAGTTCTCGATATCCGGCGCCAGGACCTCTTCCCCGCCGTACGTGATAAAATAGCCGCGCTCTGGGCTGGCTGCTTTCCACAGCTTGACGTCGTCACACCTTCCGGGCGACGCCATGCCACCATGTATCATTGTGTCTCCAGCGTATTGGTGCCCGTATTTCCAGAGGGTGCCTCTATTCAAGTAGTCGACAGGGGATGGGAAGTGGAGGCTCGAAGCCAACGTGATCCAAGGAGAGATGAGCATGGCCATTCGCGGGATGGCAAAATCTGGTCGGATCCCCTCCGGCATGCCCTTCTTGCCCAACTTCACTCCCATGGCCTGCTGGCTCTGCACCTGCATCCCAACCTCAAGCAGCATGCTGAGGATCAACGTGCCACCGGCAGAGTCTCCGGCAACACACACCTTGGAGGCATCCTTGGCCACTTCCAACACGTGCTTGTAGCCCTGGAGCGTCTGAAGAATCTGCGTAGGATAAATCTCATCCGGAACTAGGCTGTAATCCAAGGCAAAGATGGCAGGGTTTTGATAGCCGGCATCAACCAATAGGCTATGCCATGCCAGAAGAAACTCAAAGTAGAAGTAGCTCGATCCCATGGCAAACCCGCCGCCTTGTCGTAGCATGCATGCGTTAGCGCACTCCCGGCAACTCGCGTATGGAACAAAGTCTTACCATGGGCGTAGTAAATCACAATATCCGGCTCATCCTCGCCGCGTTGTTTGATCCAGATTCCCTTGACCTTTGCGTCTCCCTGCATACGGAACGGTTAGCCAGGCACGTCAAGTTTCAAAAAGGGGCTGTGGTGTGAACCTCTTCAATGGTTTCTTTCCAATAGACTGGAAAGTCTTTATATCCATGTCTCTTCATGCGCCATCTTAAAAAGGGCAGCGCCACGTCCTTGGAAAAGAAGACCCTGCCGACGTTGGCTGGTATGCTGGCGAATGCATATCGCACGCACCGCACGACGACGTCTTCGAAGATGGTAGAGCCTTTTAGGTACGATGACTTGTGCGAAGCATAGCTCCTGCAATAGCGGTTCCACACGAACTGGATAGGAAGCGTGACCACTGTAACACCATTATTGTCAATTGTCAGATGGAATTGTCTCAGCTGTCGTGATTCCCTTCATGGGTGACACCATGTTTTTTTTTTTTTTTTTTTTTTTTTTTTTTTTTTTTTTTGCATATCAGATTGGGCGCGGCGTACATAGAAATGGGATGACCCTGAGAACGACGGCTGCGGTAGGGAAAAAGCCTGCTTGGTAGAGGAGCTGTGGAGTGAGGTAGATACAGAAGACGAGGCAGTCGATGAGAGATACGGGCCCGAGGATCATGATGGCGGTGGGGTGCTCATAGCGGTTTTATCATAACAAAGGATTATTGTTTGGGTTCAAGCCATAGGGAGTGAGTGAGTGAATGAACGATTGAGGTTAGAAAGGGCCTCGAGAACTCTGTGGGTGTTGGACAAGGAAAAAAAAGAGAATAATAGAGAATATAGGAACAAAAGGAAGAAAGATGATTCAGTATTCGAAGACGATAGTATACAAGAAAATGAAGAAAATAAAAACAATAAAGAGAGCGAGTGAGTGAGAGAGTATGTGAAGAAAATGAGTATGGAAGAACAAGGTAACACCGCAATTAAAAGGAAGACAAAAATTCGAGACAAGGACAACCGACAACTTTAGGTAATATTCAACAAAAAATGACCACCGTGCCGGGGGGGGGGCGCCGGCAGCGCAGATTACAGTAAAATCTGGGGTGATGCCTCTTAATATTAAGGGTCAATCAAATCCTCCGAGTGGCTCACAAAGGGCTCCCCCCGGCCGCCCCGATTTGAGAAAGCCCCGGATCGGGCGTCCTATAACGGCAACTATTTGGGAATGTTATTTTAGCAAGGTCGTTTGCTTTAATTTGCTTGCAAGACGTCGGTGGCTTGTTGTTCTATTTCAGAAGGGTGACTTGTTTAGCACATTTTAAACTTTTGGTAGGAGGCGCGAAGGATCAATTTCTGCTTGATTGGATATGGGGGTATGTGGTTAATTCAATGTGTTGGGATCATTGCGAGTACGAGATTGCGAGGTGCTGGTGGGAATTACATAATACGGACACGAAGCTGCGCTGGGCTGCTTTTTGGCCGCCCCCCCCCTGTCAATCAGACACCGGGCCCTTTTAGGCTCTCACCATCGCCGTGGCTTTCGATCAGTTTAAGCTGAGCTGGGCTCCATTTACATTTGATCTCAATCTGGAAACGATGGGGGATCAGAGCACCCTGCAGGTCGTTGCGGACGCGCCCTTCCCCTTGACCGAGGTGGACAAATGGGTGCTTTCGCAGTCGGACGAGGATTACAAGCTTCACGATTGGGACGACCTCGAGCACATTATCGGTGTGTGAATTCACGCTCTCTGGGCTTCGTTTGGTCTATCCGAGAGGTGGCACTGGCACTGCTCATTCACGCTAACACGTGCTGAAAAAGACACAAATGATCTCTCCATTTTGAAAAGAAAGCCCTCGGACCTTCGCCGTTACATCTCTTGGACTGCAGAGACCAAGGCCAAGTATGGCACCATCACTGAATACATCCTCCAGAACCGTCTGCCCAAGGCATGGGGCTTGCCGCCGTTCACGCCCGAATCCCAAGTCCCCTTTGCTGCTGCGTCGGACTACAAGGTCCTGCTGAACGATTGGCCTTATGGATTGGCGCCTGGGATCACGCACATCGTTGTGTGGACTCGCACCCAGATTCCCACTGACCCTGAGTCGGGAGACTTGACGGTCGAGAGCAGAGCTCAGGTCCAGACGTTTGTCAACGATTACTTCATCAAGAAACTCGGGCTTGGAGGAGAGCATCAGGTGCTATGGTTCAAGAACTGGGTTGCCCTTCAGAGCGTGCGGACTCTGGAGCATTTTCACGTGCTGGTCCGCGATGTTGACGATGATATGCTGGAACGCTGGACGGGAGAGCGGCCTCGACGGGAGTGAGCAATGATTTAATAGACCCCTAGACACCTGTTTTTTTTTCTTCGCATAGTTTCCCCAGCCATTCGAATAGACCACCCCAAATCGACCCGTATATAGCATCTAAGCCGTCCTTCGTGATCGACGGTTCCCCTGCGGCGCAGCGTTGCCGGCGTCGCCAGCATTTTGCATCCCGGCCAGCGCATTCTTGCCCATGCCAAAAAGTCCATAACCCAGGTAGGCGCCGTAGGCAGGGACCACGGCAAATAAGAGCCAGCCCCAGTTTCCAAAGAGGATGACGGAAACGATGGATGCCCATGTCACCCAGATGACATCAAACATGTACTCCGTCAAGCCGGCAGCCGCCAGGTCTTCTCCCGACGTCTTGAGAGCCCCCGTTGCGGCATCGTATTTGGGTCGGCCGGAAGATTCCAAGATGAATTCGCAGATGAAGCTCGGGACCGAGAGGAGGCCGTAGACGAGGAGAGAGCGAGACCGGAGCAGGAAGTGGGTGAGCAGGAACAGCACGTGGACGACGAGGGATCCAATGTGCAGGTTGTTTAGAGAGGCCGCGTTGGACTTTGCGCGGTCCTTTTTCGCTTTTTGGGCCATTGTTCGAATTGTTCAATCTGGTGTTGAACGGCGCAGGATTTTGCAACTGGAAGCTTTGGTGAAATCTGGTCAGTTTCTTTGACCAGTGGAGAGTTTACTGTGCAAGGTTGCGCCAGCTGGGGTTGAGCTGTGGCGCCCTCGTGTGGCGGTATGTTGTCAACATGGCCGTTAGTGGGGGCTGACATCACCCGCAACGATTCAATCAATCAATGGCACGACGCAGCGGGATACAGTGGGCTGCCCGCTATCCCTTCACTGGCGGCCCCCTGTTGCTAGGCAATGGCAGTACGTCGCGCCTGGGGCCAACCTAAACCACCACAACATCTGGACCTTGCGCGCCGCGACTCGGCCAAAAAGTTACAAACTTTCACGCTCCCTCCCTTTGCCTGCCTAGGTACTCGATCCCGAATCCAAGACGCTGTCTGCTGCCGGGCGTCGAGAACCGCCTGTCGGAACTGCTTCAGCGCAGAGGCAGGCAATCCCGCGCTGGTTCAGGAGTCTGTTTCTGTTTCTCCTCGAAGCGTTGTTCAGCCATTCCCATTCACGCTCGCCAAGACCCGCCATTCCATTACACCCGCGGCACCTGTTTTTCAGCCTTGTAACGCACGGCCGCTTGCAGCGCTCTTGTCTTTGCTGCATCGATAAAGGAGAAGGAGGACAAGTGACTTGGGACTGAAGGTGGAGCGCTCGGAGCCGTGTATATGCTTCGCTATCGCCGATAGTATTGTTGCTTATTCGAACCTCGCCGATTTGCGCCTGCTGGCCACTTCTGTCTCGAGCATTTCATACGTCACATATCTTGTCTACTCTTTCGACTTCTCTCTCTCTCTCGATCCTACAGCGACTGCTATTATCACGACGGTACGGCACGACACTGCCCGACAAGTTTAACGGCCCGGTGTTGCCCCTCGTCATCTAAAGTCGACAAGCGTCTCATGGCCCCGATACATCGGTGACAACCTTGCCAGTCTTCAGCGACTTATACCATCACCACCAGGATGGCGCCAAGTCCGATTGCTGTCGGGGGCCTCCTGGGGCAGGTGGTTCATTATCACCTCGACAACGGCTCATACGACAATGCACTCTTCTTTGCTGAACGATACGCCGCGCAAGATTCTCGATCAAGTGAAGCCGCCCATCTCCTGTCACTATGCCACCTCCGACTTGGCGACCACCGATCCGCCTACGACGTCAGCAAGCCGGCGGGATATCGCGGCGTGAACTTGGGCTGCAGTTGGGTCTTCGCCCAAGCCTGCTTAGCGCTAGAGCGATTCAAGGACGGCATCACAGCTTTGGATAAGGCTAAAAGCCTGTGGTCGCAGAAAAACACCATGGGCAAGCACAGCGCGACCACTCGATCTGCGTATCCCGACGCTCCTGCGGTTCTTTGCCTGCTGGGGAAGCTGTACCGCGGCTACGACGATAACAAGAGAGCCGTGAGCTCTTTTGAGGATGCGTTGAAGCTCAACGCCTTTCAATGGGACGCCTTCAGGGCCTTATGCGACATGGGCGTTAAGACCCGAGTGCCAAACATCTTCAAAGCCAGCGACGGCTTATTGCAGAATCTTGGTCAGGACTCGACTACGTTGGTACATGTCGAGCTGAGCCAGAGCAGCATCACCACCCCGACCTCCTTTGAACAGCCTCCTCCAAAAAAGTCGTCTATGAGATCTATGGCGTCTGACATGACCGCTGATCCGTTCGGCGTTAGCTTTTCCGCCGGAGACATGACTCCCATGTCCGAGAACACGCTGATAAACTCAGAGAGCGACTTTATTTCCAAGATGCACAGTTCGAAGCTTAGGCTTGCCAACTCTGCCAACAATCACCAATCCGAAATGGAAGGCCTTGAGACCCCAACAGGGCCACCGGTGGAGGCGATGATGTCCCGGTCTAATAACCTGCAGGAACCACCCCATGCGCCCACGAGGAGGACCCGTAACATCCAGCACATGGACCAGACGCTTGAGGCACCGCCACGAATGAATTACCGAGTAGGATCGAAACGAAACGCCGTCACGCGGGAGAAGAGCAACAGCCAAGAACAGCCGATGGAGCCCATCTCAGATGCCCCCAGCGCTCCTACCGGAAACTCGCGATCTGGCGTCATTTCGACAACTGATAGGAAACGAACGCTGGCCGGCCATCCGGTATCACGATCAGCCAACAACGAGGAGCATGCAACCAGACGAAGTGCCCGATTGATAAAGCCGTCGGCCAAGACGAACTCGGCAACACCAGCTCCTACAGGGCCCCCTGCTGGACGAGAGTTGAAAAAGGCTAGACCCCCGGTCTCTCGAATCGTCCGGCCGGGTTCTAGCGGCTCCAACAACGTCGGAAAGGTCATTAGCGGCAACCGGAACCGACTGGAAGACCACAACGGCGACGGAGAATACGGAGAGATGGGCAAGGTTCAGGAGGCCCCGCCTCATCCGGTCCCCAAGATTGCTGAGCCTGATACGGCAAGGCTCGAAGAGGCTTTGAGATGGGTAATGGATTTGATGAAGAAGCTGGGGAGCGGGTACTATTTCCTGTCCCAGTTCCAGTGCCAAGAGGCTGTGCAGGCGCTGAGTTCACTGCCTGCGGTTCATCAAAGCTCGCCCTCGGTTCTGGCGCTGATGGGACGTGCGCACTACGAGCAGGCATCATACGCCGAGGCCGAGAAGTACTTTCGGAGAATGCGAGCACAGGCTCCGTCGCGGCTGGAAGATATGGAAGTATATTCTACCGTTCTCTGGCACCTGAAGCGGGAGGCGGAGCTCTCTTTCTTGGCTCACGAACTCGTGGATGCCTCATGGCACTCCCCTCAGGCATGGTGTGCCCTGGGCAATGCCTGGTCTCTAGCACGAGACCCTGAACAGGCGCTCAAGTGCTTCAAGAGGGCCACACAGCTGGATCCAAAGTTTGCATACGGCTTCACGCTGCAGGGACACGAGCACGTAACCAACGAAGAATACGACAAGGCCCTCACGACCTATCGGCAGGCCATCTCGGCAGACAAGAGGCATTACAACGCTTACTACGGCATCGGCAAAGTCCAACAGCGCCTGGGCGCTTACGACAAGGCCCTCACGCACTACCAGGCCGCCCATCTCATCAACCCCAACAACGCGGTTCTAGTAACATGTATCGGAACGGCACTCGAGAAGCAGAAGCAAATCTTACCCGCCATACGTGCTTACTGCAAGGCCGTTGAGCTTGCCCCTCGCGCTGGCCAGGCACGATACAAGAAAGCAAAAGCTTTACTCGACATTGGGCAGAATGAGGAGGCGCGGAAGGAGCTTATTATCTTGAAGGATCTAGCCCCTGACGAAAGCACGGTGCACTTTCTTCTTGCGCAGATGTACAAGAGAATGAATGAGAAGCAGGAGGCGGTCCGCCACTATACTATTGCTTTGGCATTGGATCCAAAGGTACGAGAAAGCTCAACTCCGGACGGTTTTCCTTGCAGGAGTATGACTAACATGACTTTTTCACAGTCTGGTCCGTCGATTAAGGAGGCGATTGAGAGTTTTGAGGACGATATACCAATGGACGACTCACTGATTTGACGATGCTCATGAGTAAATTCTTTTTTTTTTCCTTTTGTTTTTGAGGAGAGGCTTTGGATGGTTTTTCTTTCTTGGGCATTTGATAGTAGGGGCACACAACAGCCACCACGTGTAATATGAACCAAAAAAGGGGGGGTTCAGTTTTTCATTTTTTTTTCCTTTCAAGAAGCAAACTTTTCATCTCTGGTACTCAATTGCTTGGGCACGAGCTTTGAACGCTCGGCGGCGACTTGCAAAAGGCTAGAATGAGGGGCAAACTTGGGCTGGAAAGACACGATCACGACACGGGCAGGGTGATATGTCTTTTGGCATGGCATTGGCGTTCTTTGGGGGCCTTGGAAGCTACTTGGAAGGCTTGGACTAAGGGTCGAATTGAGAGCAATGGGTTTGGTTTTTGCCTTGCTCTATGTATTGAATACTATAGCACAGGAGAGGAGGGGGTGTATTGGCTGTATAGGTACCCTTTTATTGCGGGCGTTTGTATCATGATGTGCAGTGATATTGGTGTTTTGAGGGTGATGGAAGGTGATGGCTAGGTACCTACAAGTGTACTATTCCTCCTTCCCTACGAGCTTCTTCTCCAATGACCTAAAGAGTATGTTATTATGAAAGCAATGGAAGTTATTACTGTTGCAAAGTTGATACATTTAGCTGAATTTCATTGTGATAACCCTTGTACCTCTTTGGGGGTTTGCAGCTACAAGCCTCCGTCCGATGCGCATAAACAAGGGGTCTACGCAAAGGGATGCTCTGCTCTGCTCTGCTCTCCGGCAATTGACGCGTACCAGCAAAGTACCTACCGCTTCACAGAAGGGATGGCTGTACCCATCGCGTTTGTTTACAGGGCACGTTTGCACTGTGCCGGACCGCGAGGTACCTGCGCGCTAGAAGCTCCAGCTCCGTTTTGCTGGCGTGCATCACCGTTTTTTGTTTTGCTACTAAAAGGGAGAGTGAGAGAACGCGCTTGGCGTTCCTGGCCGACGTTTCTCCGAGCAGCAAGGTATATGTCCAGTAGCTTTTGGGGGGGCAAATCAGAGCAGTTTCTGGCTTGGTCAGCTCAGAAAATGGCAACGAAAAAAAGGGAGCCCCGCCGAGGCCTGAATTATTTAGTCGCGTGTGTTGCATCCCGCCCTTCCGAAGCAGGAAAAAATAGGTGCACAGGAGCGTTAAAAAAAAAAAAAAAGAGAGCACTAACAGACACCAACTACATAATTCCTAGCAGGTGGTACCTGCACCACAAGTAAAATTAAGCAAACGAGTAGGTACCTCTGCACCTAAAAAGCCTGCCGCCACCCCACCCCCGAAAAGGGAATAGGAGGGCAGGAAACACAGCCTTTCAGCGCGCAAAAAAAGAGAAAAAGGTGCAAAGCGGTTACTGATCCGGCGCTGATTCCCTGCGCGTATTTATTGCTCGAGGCGCCCGCCCCCCCCGCATCTTTGCTCTCGCAACATTCTTCGTCTCTTTTACTGGTGCAGAAAAAACGTCATTTTGCAAAGTGACGCGTTTACCACGGATTTCTATACTCTCCGACTTTTTCGCATTCTAATACATTCATCATGACTGGCCGTAAGTATTTCTTTTATTGTTTCTCCGCTTCGTGTGCGCCTGTGTGGATGTTGTGCGTATATGTCTGCATCGCGTGAAACGCGCGCGTTGTGAAGCCGAGATGGGAACTCGAGAGACGACGATGCTGACTGTCGTTGTTTAGGTGGAAAGGGTGGCAAGGGCCTCGGCAAGGGCGGTGCCAAGCGTCACCGAAAGATTCTTCGTGACAACATTCAGGGCATCACCAAGCCTGCTATCCGACGTCTCGCCCGTCGTGGTGGTGTCAAGCGTATCTCTGCCAGTAAGTTTTTTCATCCCTTGCATCTTCGGGCCATCATCATGGGGGAAGAGGACTAACGCGTCTGGTAACTAGTGATCTACGAGGAGACCCGCGGTGTTCTCAAGTCCTTCCTCGAGGGTGTCATCCGCGATGCCGTCACCTACACTGAGCACGCCAAGCGCAAGACCGTCACCTCGCTGGACGTCGTCTACGCTCTCAAGCGACAGGGCCGCACCCTCTACGGTTTCGGTGGTTAGAGCGTTGGACGCGTTGTTTTCTGTCTGCGCGGTGGCGATGTGGAGCTGGGGTTATCTGTGCAAATAACATGGACTCTTCTGTACTTTGATCGATTGGCGTTGGGGGGAATGGGCTTACGAGGAGGCGTCATGGTAGACGACCTTATAAATGAGAATACCACATGAATACAAATATGATAATCATTCCGTGAAACGCGTTCTCTCCTAGAAATCCTGTCATGTTTGCGGTTGTGAATGTTTGACATGATCATTGTAATTTGCATCATTCATTATGTGTAACTGAAGAAATCTATAGGTATTTCCGTCCAGCAGCTGCTACCCTTGCTCTAAAGATGGGACTCCAAACCTCCATGTTTGCCTTGTAAAACGGATTCATGATGGCCTTGACCCAGTTGTCGTAGACTTCGGTGAAGAACATCTTGATTGCCTCTTCGGTGGCCGGACTCGTCGGGTTGGCGCCAATAGCGGTTGACGATCTGGACGTTGCCGTCGAGGTTGGGGTGGTGGGCTGATGCAACAACAGGAACTTGACGTTGCCGCCGGTGACGAAGCAGGAGATGTAGTTGTTGAAGAACTTGTCGATGCACTTGAGGTACCTGCGATATAACGTGGGCGGTAGGTCGTCAGCCTTCGTTCGTCTCTCCTCGCAACGGGGCTTTCACAGCGAAGAGAGGGTCGCAGGCTAGGCAACAGGGGTTTTTTTTTCATAGCCAAATAAATGGCGATAGAGAGACTCACATCTGGCCGCTCGACCACTGCACCTCCTCGGCTATGTCCAGGCTCGAGTGAAGAATGAACTGGTTCAGGTGTCGCACTTGTTCGGTGAAGCGGGACTGGCCATCGCCGCCCTGCTTGGAGGTGCCAAACTCATACTCGAACAGGGGATTATCCTGGGTGCCGACAATGGCAAAGTAGTAGCTCATTGTGCTGCAGCGCCAACCATCGGGCGAATGCGCGGGGGCCCAGCTGGTTCGGCAGTCCGGTTCTGTTTGTTGTTTTCTTTCGTGATGCCGGAATAACAGGGTCGAAGGCTTATCGGATTGCGACCTGTTTGGAGTGGATGAGATACGTCGCTGGGAAAGAGGGTGTGTGCGAACCGCTATGGCGCATCATTGTTCCGTCCGGGAACCGCACACGCCCCCCAAATTCCGGAGGGGCCAATCCGGGTGCGGCCAAGTCCGGAATAACTGCATTTTGAGAAGAAAAGCTTCTAAATCCAGACAGCGACCTCTTCCCCAAAAACAGCGACGAACAAAGAAAACCAAACCAGCCCACACAAATGTTCGGCCCATTTCGCGCTACGAACCCGCTGTCGGGCGGCCTTTTGTGGAAGATCCCATGGCGACTGTCCAAGTTCCAGAAGAGGCGGCACAGGCTGCGGCTGCGGGCCGTGGACAGCGTCGTGGCCACGCTGGACGCGGCGCTGGGGAAGAAGGGCCAGACGCTCGAGGCCATTGAGCGGTGGAAGGCTGAGATGCCGGTGGAGGAGGAGATGCTGCCGAGGGACAAGTACACCATGTTTGACCGAAAGGAGAAGAAGTACCGCAAGGGCATTCACAGTATGTCCGTCTTTGTCTGTTGGTTGTTTTTTTCTTGTTGTGTACGAGTGCTGACTCTGGGGGGTTTGCTAGAACTGCCAAAGTGGACGAGAGTTTCGCAGAGAGTCAATCCTCCTGGATACTAAATACGGGATGAAACCGAGACGACTATACAACGAGCGAATTGCAATTTTTATCTAGGTTGGAGGAGAAGAACCCGGGGAAGGATGGGGACGACGGTTGTGACGATATAAGCAGAGACTTATTGTACATTACCAACTACTTACTACCTTGCACACTACGGCGGAGCACTCTGGAACTACGGCTGTATGGGAGTTTATAACGAAGAAGAAAAAGAAAAGGCCTGCGATTTTGGCTGCATGGATCAGCGGTTGACTGTAGGAATACCCGGATGGTGGTGCTCAATCTGAAATGGCACGATGGATTAAACCAAGATAGAAAACTTGCGCCGAGAAAAAATTCCAAATCTATTCCCGTAAAAGGTATCATTCCAAAAATATCAAGACTTTCATAAAACAAAGCAGTTCCCCCCTAATCGTCATATCTCGACTTCTCGTCCTGCAGCGCTCTACCCACGCCTCCTCGGCCCTCGTCAAAGTCCTCCCGGTATTCGTCTCGGACCTGGCCGCCCGACTTGCCTCGGCCATACTGTCTGCCCTCCTCGAATCCCGGGTCCAGGTCTGTCCGGATGATGCGCTCGTCTAGCTTTGTGCCGCCAATGTACTTCATGCAGTCCAGGGCGTCCTGGTGGGTGTAGTACTCGACGAAGCAGAAGCCGCAGGGGGTCTTGTTGAATCGGTCGAGACCCATGACGAGACGCTTGATTTCGCCGCACTTGGAAAAGAGCTCGTAGACTTGCTCTTCTGTGGTGTAAAAGGAGCTATCGAGAAAGCCGTGTTAGGGTACGTATTGGGGAAGATGATAAGGGGGGTTGAGAGGTTCAGACGCACAGGTTGCCGACGTAGAGAGTCGTCGCGTTTGCGAGGGGATCAACGGCGGGCTCCGCAGGTTCCTCTGCATTGTCGTCTCGGTCGCGTCTGCGCTTGTTCTAATGACGTGTGAGCGTTTACACTGCAGTTGGGTTGAGTATCACGCACTCTGCTGATATAGTAAGCACTCGGTCTGTCGAGGCGCTCGACGGTGCTTCGAACTTCGCCGCGCATCGTGTGACCGGTGTGCGAGCTTCGAATTGGGAGGGAGGACCGGAATCGACGGTGAATCAAAGTAATGCCGTAAGATTGATTGTCGAGGACTGCGTAAATGGGAGGGATGGCAACAGCTGAGATGGTACTGAGGAGCTCAATTGGTGTGAATAAGGTCTGATGCAGGTAGACGATGGAAAGCTTCAAGCCCAAGTATTCAAGTAGTAATACAGCCCGGCACAAGCAAGAAAAAAAAAGGCTGAGCCTGTTCGCTGATGCAAGGCACCTGTAGAAACAGCACACTAACGGATCTCATAGGCGGGTACAGCGATTGCGGGTGGATCCCCTGCCACCCAGTTGCCCCAGATAACGCGCTAAAGCTTTCCTTGCTTCGCTGACAGCCGCGCTTTTTTGCAAAAGCTTCGAACAGCCTTGGAAATCCAGGTTGTTTTCTGGGATCCGGCAAGACGCCGCTCTCTTTTGAGCCGTCAGGACAAACACAGCTTGCGCCGGCTATTTTCGCTGAATCGGGAGAGGAGAGAATATTTGCGGGAAGAGGGAAGAGACGTCAATCCGACTCTGATTCTCCAGCAAACAAAGAACAGCCAGCCATGCCAAAGGTCAAGGGCTACTCGGCAGCTTGGCTGTCGAAAAACGCCCCCGGCAACCAGCTCTTTGAGCCTTCAGCCGAATCCCTTCGATCCAGGGCCCTGTCGCCGGGAAAGAAGAAGCAGTTTCCCGGGCCTAGGCGGACGATTGCCCGACGCGGAACGGAAGTGTTTGTCGCTGTGGGCAGGGAGATCCGATGGGGTGACCTGGTCTACCTCAAGGAAGAATGGACGGACAAACAGTCGCGGAGGAGGAGCAGCGTGGGTGTTCGAATCAAGCGCGAGGACGACACTCTACAGTCGATTGATACGGATGGCACTGACTCGGCGGGCGGATGGAGGGTAAGTTGATGATTGGTTCTCTACACAGAAGAAGAAGGAATCAATGTGTCGTGGCGTGGCCACGACGAGCATGCTAACACGACAATCCACAGATAATCAAGACGCCAGCGGCCGACGATATCCGGCAGCTCATCATCTCGCCCAATACCAACCTGCTGGCCATTCTCACGACACACACCGTACACATCTGCGCACTGCCCGACTCATCTCACCTCACGAGCGAAGACACCAGCCCACTGAAGCCCAAAACATACACACTTGGGCCTACGACCCACGTCACTTCTCGCTCTGCCATTGTATCCGCCCTATGGCACCCCCTAGGAGTTAACGGCTCTTGCATTGTGACCATCACGGCCGACGCAACGGTCCGCCTGTGGGAGCTTTCGACGCAGGACCGCTGGTCATTTGACTCTCCGACGACGTCGATAGACCTCAAGAAGTTGGTGGATGGCACCAGCGTTGATCAAGATTTTTCGGCGTCGGTATCGGCCACTAGCAAGGCCTTCTCGCCCGATGAGCTTGAGATGGAGGTGGCAGCAGCAAGCTTCGCGACTAAGGGCTCCGGCGGCTGGAATCCGATGACGTTGTGGATTGCGATGCGCGAGGGCGACGTGTATGCGCTGAGTCCCCTTTTACCACAGCGATGGGCACCTCCGCCGACACTGATTCCTTCTCTTTCGGTCTCCATTGTTACCACAGTAGCAGCCATCGAGGACGACCCCAGTGTGGACGCCAAGGAACAGCTTCTGGCGCAACAGCAGCTCCAATGGATGGGCGAAATTGATTCCCAGGAGCCTCAGATCATGGATTCCATTATCCCAGGAGAACCAGCTCTCGAGGTCTACACCAGACCCTCGCGGCCCGGTGCCATCCCTCGCCTCCAAGGACCTTTTGACCTGCAGGCAAGCCCGGAAACAGGAGATGACTTGGATAGCTCCATCACAGACATCCTCGTGATTGGAAAGAAGACAGAGACGGAGGATCTCATGCTGGGTGAGGAAGACGAACTGGACTTTGATAACGGAGACCAGGAAGGCCTCTCTCTGGCTCTTGTTTGCTTGCTATCTACAAGTGGTCAGGTCCGCGTCTACTTGGACACAGACGGAGTCCAGGCCCAGTGGCTACCTCCCAAAGGCAAGAGCAGGTTTAGCCAAGTGCTGAAAGCTGCTGATATGGAGCCCCCCACGCTTCTGGCATTCCAAGCCATTGACACCATGACCCCAGTCGAGGTCAACGAGGGCAGCTGGCCAGTCTTCAGTACAGACGTCGTGTCCCGATACAACTTTTTTGTCACTCACCATGCGGCCATCACATACATTTCCCTTGCCCCTTGGATCTTCAGGCTCGAGAGCGAGCTGCGTGGGGAGCACGAGACTGGCACAGACTTCCGTCTTGGCCTCTTGGCCAACTCACAGTCCACCAGAGATAGGGTATACGCCCAGCAGGCGGCAGATGCCGCACTCCCACTGGCAGCCTGCGTTGCCATCCGCGATCCCGATCTTGGCTATTTCCTCCTCTCGGCGACGCCTTATGAGCCCATCGCCCTGACGTTTGAAACGCCCGATGACGAACCAATCACCGTACGACAGGAGAGTCCCGCCCGTGAGCGTGAGATGAGCATGGCACCTCTGGACTTCTACGAGCCCCGACCAGTGTACAGTATTCCACATACCTTTAGCGAGTCGTCCGCCGTGCCAGAGCTGCTGGAGCGCCTTCGCACATCTCGCCACAAGACCATTGTTAACCAGGAGGTGAGGCTCAGCCCGCTAACGCTGTCCCTCTTCACCGATGCGCATAAGATCCTCAGTGATGAGACATACCGACTGGGCGTGGCGGCGGCCGAAGTCTTTCGCCGATGCGAACTCTTACAGGCGGAGCTACGGCAGCAGGTCAGGAAGGCAAACGAGGTCAAGGGCAAGATTGACACCATCAACGGATCTCATAGAGAGGATAACGAGCCGGACAGCGCAATGTACGAGAGGCGGATCAATGAGGCAAAGGAGCGACAGGAACGACTGACGCGACGGATGGAGGACCTGCGAAAGATGGTCAGTAAGACTACCTCACGGGAACTCAGCACCAAAGAGCGGGCGTTTGTAGAGGAGGTCAAGGCGATGGACGCTAGCGTGTCTGGACCGGCCGGAGCTGAAGCTGGGCCAAGGAACCAGGCCAAGCAGGTATGGAGGCGGCTGGAGGAGGTCAAGAGGTTGCAGGCTGAGCTGGTGGCCGAGGCCGAGGCCTTGAAGACGGCGAGCGGCACCGCATCCCCGGCTAGCAGCGTGGAGCTGCGTATTCCTCAAGACATACGACGTAGCAAGCTACAGCAAGTGCAAGGACTACTGTCCCGAGAGTCTGCGCTAGTTGAAGCGGTAACGTCACGACTGGAGCGGCTTCAGGCGAGCTTGTAAAAAAAAACAAAAGAAAGAAACCCCCTTGGACTCGACTTGGGAAGAGGTTGGACACTGATAGTACTAGAAAGGGTTATGATGGCTAAGGACAGGGAAATATGACGACTGCCATTAAGGGTGTGTTGTTAATGAGCTTGAGGGTAGTGGATTTACATCTGTGGCGAACGAACAATGGACCAATACAATTTTTTGATCTTTCTGAATCGATGAACGCTTGTCACTTGGCTTGTGTTGACGGCGCTTCCCATTCAAACTACGACGCGGCACAGTGGATGACTTGACTATCTAGCTAGCACTTGAGATTTATGACATACGATATGAGAGTCAAAGGCTGGGTGTCCAATCTATCCAATCCAGGTACATGGATAAACAGGAGTGCAACATCCCTGCCAATGTCTCTGCCCATCTCCACCAGGCATCTCAAATCAGTCGGCGACGTGAACGCCACAATGGAGGCAGACGGCGTCTGGTGGATGGGACGCGGGAGGCCCTCTGCGGACCAAGTACGGAATGTGATCAATACATGAGACAAAGGGTCTCGTTGTCATGATATAATGTATCCTGATTGGTTTGTTGATTCTCCTCCTTACTTGGTCTCTGCTGATAAGATGTTTTTAGGTGCGTTTGTGATTGACTACAAATGAAAAGAGTGAGGCTGTGGGTGGAGGGGGGGACGGGCGGGATGGGAAAGGCAGGGCGAAGGGGATTGAGACAGCTTTGGGCCGTGATGCTGGTCAGGCACGTTTCATCTAGGACCAGGCAATTGGTCTCGGAGACATACGAGGATGGCTATGAAGTCATTCCTTTATGCGCTGTGACGAGGGTGCCGCGGAGATGGACAACCTTGCATTTCTGGGGATGTAGCTTGGACGGAACACAGAGGAGAGAGATACAGAGAGAGAGATGAAGAGAGAGAGGAATGACAGGCAAAACATGACATGGCCTCTGTTTGAGACGGCCTCGGATATGGACAAATGAGCAGCTTGAGTTGAGTGAGAGAGAGCAAGGGTCTGTGATTTCGTTTGCGACATGCAGCCAGTGGTGGAAATTATACCGTACGGTGAGCACACATCGTCACAAGACTGCCTCGGGGGGAGCAAGCAAAAAGGCAAAGATCGATAGTTGGGGGATGCTAAGGATGCAGCTCTCAGGTTGGTATTTTTATTTGCTTTTTTTTTCTTCCTTGCCTACCCCCTGTCGGGTTGAGGTCTCAGCCTGAACTTTTTTTCGGTGAGTGCAATAACACGCTTTAGACATGCATGTGAGCAGTAGCGGCACTGATTTCGGCCTTGGCTTTTTCTTTCTTTTCTTTTTCTTTTCTTTTTTGGGGGGAGCTATCCTTGATGCTTGTTTTGGATGGCTTGGTTTTCGGGGAGAAGAAGGTTGGCGGTGACCGAGGATGGGCTGCCTGTTTAACCCGTTGCTTTTTCTTTTTCTTCCCAGCTGGTCTGAGAACGGGACGATGGTGCTTCTCGGTGGCTTGTTATGGTGGTACAAGGTATGGAGTCTTGGGAGGAGAAAGACTTACAAGGTGGCGGGCTGGGTTGCATGGGCCGTCATGTAAGGGGGTGAAAGGGTGGAAATGAAAAGAACACCACAGAGGGCGAGGCTGGCATAAGGAAAAGATGTGCAGAGCAGAAGAGAGTCAGAATGGATAAATGCGGATAGATGTTTGTGCGACCTATCAAGATCGAGATCGAGATCGTGGGCGTGCTTCTCCGAGTATATAAGTCGTGGTGTTTACCCTTCTTGCGTTTTGAGATTCTCTCTCTTCTTTCTTCTTTCAACCGTCAGATACACGATTGACCAAACACACCATTCTACACATTCTTTGACTTTATTTGTCTCTTTTTACGTTGGCTTCTATCTTTTTTTACTTGTTTGTTTACTTGATGCAATTGACAATGTGCGCACAAAACGCAAGCAACATGACTGGAACTACCTCTGACCATGGAGGCTTGTACTACATTGAGCTGATCAAGTGTGAGTTTGAAACCCTTTACCTACCTTGCTTCTTAATACTAACCTCCCTCTCAATGTAGCCAACCTCCAGTTCATCCACGGCAAGGAATGCTTCTTCGAGGTTCTCTCGCAGGTCAAGGCCCCCGACCAGTGGAAAGTCAGCGTCCTCAAGACCGAGGGTGGTTTCCGGACCGTCCTCTTCTCTGATTCGGGTGTCGGCCTCCTCAATGTGCTGGAGAAGCTGCACCGCAAGTCGGCCGAGAAGCTGGACAAGTTCATGGCGGACAATACCGCCGACGCCTACGCGTACGTGAAGCGCAAGGAGGGCGAAGCGGCCAAGGCTGCCAAGGTTTCGTCTAGCAAAGACCAGGCGAAGGAGACCAAAGAGGTCAAGGAGACGAAGGAGAAGACGCCGCCCAAGACTCCGGTTCCTGAGGCGGCAGTTGAGCCTCGGGATCCTCGCATCTCGAGCAACTCGGATTCCGACAGTTCGGATGATTTTGGCCCGGATAGTGCCAGCGTGTTTGTGAAAAGCCGCAGGGGACAGGGCATGTGGCGTGATAGGAGCATATTTGATGAGCCTATTTCAATCAGGTGCGATCCCAGCCTTCGCTCGAGAAGCCTCCTTTGTCCCAACTATGGGCCGGCGAGCTCCTTCTACCGCATATCTCCCAGTGGTCGTCCGGAGGCCCTTGACGAGATTGCGATTCGCGGCCTTCTCAAGGCCGATCGCGAGTTGAGGAGGAAAGAGAGGCGCGAGGAACAGGCCGCAAAGGAGGCTGCAAAGACGGCTTCTGCTCCAGCTGTTGCCCCAGCTCAAGCTGCTGCTCCGGCTCCTGTGCCTGCGCCTGACACTACCAAGACTCAGGCTCAACCTCAGGTCGCCTTTGCAACCGAATCGCAGATGACCAACGACCTTGAGCGCTTGGCTCTGCGAAGTCGCGCTCAGAAACACCGCGCGGAGCCTCTGCCGGCCCCCAAGAACGTGCTTGTTCACATCCGCTGGCCGGAATTCGGCGACGCGGTGGTGGCTGATGAGTGCCAGCTCAGCGTGAAAGAGGTGCAGAGCCACGTACGAGGCATGCTGAAATCGCATGGCTCGGACCTGTTTAACCTTACCAGACCTGTCAACCCTCTTATGTTTATGAGCAATCAGCTGGCCAACTTTAGCGTGGCTGTCAAGGCCATCAACTTTGATGATCAGAGGTTCATGTTGGGGCCAAAGGTTGGGGATGATTTGACCAAGGTTTCCAAGGACGTGGAGAGCTGCAAGGCGATTAAGATTGAGGTTGAGGTGAAGTATATCTTGTGAGGTATCTTGTAGGGCGTTTTGCCTCTTGATACATGGGAGTCAAAACCGAGAAAAGGTTTTGACAGGATTGAAAAAAGCAGTCATTATTAGATACATGTATTGCTGGTGGAGGAGGGAACTGTTGAGTCGGAGCATGTTCTTTGGATATTGTGCTTCTGATTGACGGTTCTTTGCTTTGCCATGCGGGTCTTTGTAGTGTGTTGGCTATGGGCACGGGAGTTTTTACAAAGTGCACCGGTTACCTTTCTTTAGAGTTGATGATTGACTGTATTGAGTGCTCTATGGTGTCTTTTTGTGATTGAGTCTAAGTCACCAATATGTATCATGAACTGTGTGTAGGACGAAGGTTGTACTACACATTCATCCCGATGCCATTCACCTATATAGTTGAGGGTGCCGTAGAGATTGCTGCTGTGTACCCAAGGTTGTCTTGCAAAATACCATTTGCTACTGTCGGCTGCAAGAATACAAACCCCGCTAAGAATGCTGTGATGAAACAAAAAAGAAAAAAGAAAGCAGCAAATCCATGTAACCTGCGCTGTCGTGCCCGCACAGCGACATCCGTTCCCCCTTGCATAACCTACAAGGGTCTAGATCAACTTGGAAGCAGCCATGTCATGCAAAGACGAGACCGGTGTGAGTTGTCATTTCTGATGGGACACTCAGCCGTACGAGAACAGGCCAATAGCATCCGGATGGGTGATGAAATACTGCATCGGCTTGGTACAAGCTGAGGGCCAGATACAAGGGAGAAGAAGGCTTCCATTAGACACGGCATGTTTGCGGGACTAGTACGTTGGCAAGTTGGGTTCTTTTGTAGTGCCGAGGAATACATGTACGAGTATGAGCATGCAGCCGATGATTCGAGAGAAATAATCTGGATGAATCAAATGCGCATATGTGAGTTATCATACGAGTCTTGACGCCACTCGCGGCTGAGTTATGCAGTCGAATAGCCAAATTGAAAGGGTCCAGGCTTCTCTTGGTCGCCTTATGTTTCTCTTATTGGTAACAGTGACTATATGTACGCATCAAAACATCATTATTGTGTATGATCCCGGTTCACACAGAGCTCAACAGCTCTGTGAACAAGGGACTAGCTGCTTTATTAGGAGAAAAGTTGGCTCTAGCATACCGGCACGGAGCGGCACGCCCATGTACACGTAGATCTGAGGAGAAGGGGGTTACTTCATCTCGTGTACTAACATTTGATTGCATAAAAGTGTGAATGCTTGGCGCGGAATTGGACGAGAGCGAGGCTGAGGATGGGAAGCAAGGGGGTGAATTAGTGCACTAGATGGACGTTCCGCGATTGGAGGAGCTGAAGAGTAAACTCCGTTATGAGGCATGTTCCCTGCTTAATGCTTGCGTCTGTATGGCACTCGTTGAAGTGTGAAATTAGATTGGTACTGGAGACGAGCTGAATGCAATGCGCAGAGTCCGTTGGTCAATCTGGCTGGAAGCGGAAGAAATGAAGCGTCAGTACTCGTATGAGAGAAGGGTGACACCCGTGACGCCCCCTCAATCAGTATAAAGTTATGCATAATGGCTACTCTCTACTCGTTCTTTTGTTGAGATTCCTTCTCATGCAATGCTCGGAATGCCGTCGCTATCCGTCTATAGCTATCCGCCAATAAGACTATCACGGGAGGGTCAGACTTCGAAGCCTCTCCGCCGGGTGCTGGCCACTCACAGAAGGGGACGATGGCCCACGGGGCGTTGAATCCAACGTAATAGATCCAGAAATAGAGAAACTCGGGTCGACTGTACGACACGCCATGAAGACGTTGCTCAGCCCAGTTCGTAGCGTAGTACAAGGCCACTCCGTAGAGGTGGGCAACACAGACGACGATCTGGAAGAGGTGTCTGGACGGGTGGTTGGTGCAGATGCAGAGGACGGCGATGAGGCTCAATGGTCCCCAGGCGAACTGGATGAGCGCGTTAGATGCGTTTCGAGAGGAATTTTCGGGGCTAGGAGGAAGGATGAAACGAACGACGGTGATGGTTTCGACGCAGATGGTGAAGATGTCGGAGGTGAGATAGCGCGAGTCGGAGAGAGCGTATTCCTTCCAGAGCTGGGCGAAGAGCGTGCCTTTGCCGGAGATGCCTGCGCGGTGAAGGATGTAGTACCCTGTATGAAACGAATTAGATGCGATGTTTGCGAGATGAAAGGTGAAGATGATACTTTCATGGCAGTATGAGCACTAACCTTCAAAGGCGATATGTAAGAAGCCGCCTGTTCCCAGAGTCTCTGCGATTAGCCATGTATCCAGCCCAGATTTGGCACGCTGTGAATAAAATCAGCTTACACAAGGCAAACCACGAAGCCGCAAACCGGTCGATAGACCGGACACGGCGCGGGGAGCCGGAGCCGGAGCCGGCGAGGAGGTAGGCCGAAACTACAACGGCGCCGATGAGGGCCCCGAAGACGGGAAGAGAGCGGGAGAGCGGGAGGTCATTTGGGCGATAATTGGGGATGGAGACGCCGAGAGGGTAGTAGGGATGGTCCATTGCGGTAAGTATCATGGACAGGTATTATCAAGTGACGAGGGTGGGCGGAAGGGCGGTTGGTTGAACGAAGGAGGTTTTCTGGAGGCTTGTGGAGTTTTGGTGGGCATGGTTTATCGAGCGGTGTGTTGAAGATGGCGGGCGCTGATGGATAGATAGGTGATGGAACAGCTGGAAACTGGTGTATTGGATTGTAGCAATTGATGTTTCTTGCTTTTATTCTTCTTCTTTTAGACGGATCAATTGCTCTAGGAATTGCCAATTCCAACCTACTTTGTTCTGCTTCATCCTGAATAGTGACGGCTAAAGTTGTTCAACGAGACCCACGTGGATAACAAAGATCAAATGACTGCCCGCTTAACCCATACCATCAGCTCACTTATTCCAGCTTGAGAGGTCTGACTCTTTCACAAGTCCCAACCAACAGCAGATCCCGCCGCAAACCACTCTATTCTGGCTGTGGCTGGACTATTGTGTCATGTTGACAGACTCGAAAGCCTCGGTGACTCGTTCGAGACGCCAAAACTTGCTCCGAGATGCTCGTCGGCAAGCTTCCGTTACAGCCCACATGGGCCAGCCAGGAACGCTGCTTGGCCTATCTGGCAGCGGATGGCCCCCCGGCCCTGGATCGAGGTGGCACTGCAGCAGGCCCGTGATACTGCTTTAGGAAGGTCGACAACAAGCCTCTGCAAGCTACGGCAGAGCTGGCTGGGGAAGAGATAAACGCCAAGCTACCAAAGTTCTTGAGCGAGCCGGTGCTGACTTGCGGAGAGGCAGAATCGGCGTGGGGAGGGAAAGATGGCGAGGGTCCGGAGCTGGCCGATGACGGATATAAGATGGTTAGTTGTCTCTCTCTGTTCTGTGCCAGTCCACGGCGTCTGTCTCTCTCTCTCTCTCTCTGCTGCCCGCCTAGAGATCTCCGTCAATTGGCCCAACCGCGCTTCAAAGAGATGAAGACTCTCGCCGTTGCCAGCGGGCTCGCCGCTCTGCTCCCCACGGCGCTGGCCTGCGGGAGCGACTCGTCGTGCTACGGCCCTACCAACACGGTCGAGCATGTTCGCCATGTCAAGCGCATCCAGCCCGGCGTGCCCGGCGCGGCATACGGACCCAAGGCGCCTCTTGAATGGGGGCAGCTCAACTTCTTGCATACGGTACGCTGTTGTCGTGGGTTTGGTTGGACCATCTACACGTATATTATACTGACTCGCACATCATCTCGCGACTTACATAGACCGACACGCATGGCTGGCTGGAGGGCCACCTCAAGGAGCAAAACTACGGCGCCGACTGGGGTGATTTCGTCACCTTTTCGCGGCGCATGAAGCAGACAGCCGGCAACATGGGCGTCGACCTGCTCCTGGTGGACACGGGCGATCTGCACGACGGCAACGGCGTCTCGGATGCCACCACCATCGACGGCACCGACTCGATGCCCATCTTTGACGAGATCGCCTACGACCTGCTGACGATTGGCAACCACGAGCTGTACGTGTCCGAGGTGGCGTATCAGATGTTCAACAACTGGGCGCGCAAATGGGGGGATCGATATGTCACGTCCAACGTGAAGGCCTTCAACCAGACGTCGGGCCAGTACGAGCACATTGGAGCCACGCACCGCTACTTCACCACCGAAAAGGGGCTTCGCGTCATGGCCTTTGGTGTCTTGTTCGACTTTACCGGAAACTCCAACGCCTCGCAGGTGCTCAAGGCCGCCGACATGGTCAAGGAGGAGTGGTTCGCGGATGCCCTCAACACCTGCGACCCCATTGACGTCTTTGTCCTCTTCGGCCACAACCCCGTGCGCCAGACGGATTCCTCCAACACGCTCGAGACGGTCTTCAACGAGATCCGCAAGGTTCATCCCACCACTCCCGTCCAGATCCTCGGCGGCCACAGCCACATCCGCGACTTTGCCGTCTACGACGACAACTCGGTGGCCATTGAGTCCGGCCGCTACTGCGAGACGCTCGGCTGGATGTCCATGACGGGCTTCAGCTCCAGCAACAGCGGCTACAACGGCGTCAAGAACCCGCACGGCGTCGCCAACCCGACCCGTCCCGCGAGACCGGGCGCAAAGTCCCCCTTTGTGTACTCGCGCCGATATCTCGACTGGAACCGCCAGACGTTCATCTACCACACCAAGCAGACGGCGCAGGCGTTTGACTACGGCTCCGGCCTGCGCGTCACCGGGGACATTACCGAGGTGCGCGAGCATCTCAAGCTGGGCGATGTGTATGGCTGCGCTCCCCAGACGTACTGCATCTCCTGCGTGCCCTTTGACAACTCGAGCAACATCTTCCCCGGCGTTGTCGTGCCCGCCGTCACTGCCGTTGTCGTCAACAAGACTCGCGAGGACAAGTCGCGTTTGATCATCGGCAACACGGGAGCGATCCGCTTCGATCTGCACCAGGGACCGTTTACTTACGACGACAACTTCATCGTCTCTCCTTTCCGTGACGTCTTCCTCTACATCCCCGACGTGCCGTATGACTTGGCCAAGACTGTCCTGCCCAAGTAAGTAGATCCTTTTCATTCCCATCTGGACATGTCTGTGATGCTAACACGACTGCAGGCTTAACAAGGGTCCCATCGCCAAGCGTGATCTCGCCACGATGCCCATCCCCCGCGACTCATGCACCGATCCCTCTCTGGGCTACCTCACCCGACGCGAGATGCGCCAGAGCCACGGCGTCGTCCGCCGTCAGGAGGTCGTTACTTCGGGCTATGTCACCACTGACGACTGGGGCTCCGACGGCGACGACACGGAGCACACCGGCATTCCCAACTACAGCCTGCCCGGCTACTTCCAGGCCGAGGCCAACTTTCCCGAGGGCGAGGACCCCGAAGTCGTTGACCTCGTCTTTTTCGACTTGTAAGGGGCCTTTCAACATGGCAATTGGTAATATGATGCTAATATTTTGTGTGTAGTATCGAGTCATTAATCCTGTCGGATCTGGGTGCCAACTTCACGGCCGACATGGTAAGCTGCTACATTGACTGCAGCTTTACTTCGCAGGGTATGTCCATCTCTTAAAACACCTGTTGTTTTGTGATTTGAAGCTAATCGTAGTAGACTATATGCTTCCTTATGCGAAGCTCGCATGGCAAGAAAACGTCGATAACTGCCCTGTGGCGATTCAGTAAATTGTTCCATGAATTAATGTATACATGCATAATTCAAGTTGAAAGAAGAAGATTAGACTCTTAGATGATGATATGTCTGTTAGATATAATCAATGCAATTCGCAATGCTTGAGCCACGACGCTACAACTTTCCAAATGACAAAAACAAAAAGAGGTCCCTTTACTCTCCAAAAAGTGCCATGATACTCAATAATAAACATCCCCCTTCATCAACACCCTCGCCGTCCTCAACAGCTTCGCCTCCTCGATCCTCCCATCCTTGACCGTCGTGCCCACGTCCACGACGCCGCTCGGATGCCCAATCCGAATCACCTGCTTCTTCTCCCCCCCCATCAACTCCGCCGCAATCGTCCCGTCCATCTGCGACGCCGCGCCCAGACACAGCCCCAGCGTCAGCGGCACCGCCTTGTGCGCCTGGCCCATGGACATGGCCAGGCACTGGATGTCCGTCTCGGCGGACTTCCTCGCGCCGGCCGGCAGCAGCATCACCACCTTGGGCACGCTCTCGGTCTTGGGGTCCAGCCCCATTGCCGAGGCGCCGGCCTGGCGGATCTGCTCGAGGCGTGCTTTGAGGGCGGAATCCGCTTCGACCTGGGCCGGGGTGAGGGTTGCCGCCGTGACGTCGTCGATGCCGAGGCCGGACGTGGTGATGAAGACGCCCGGGTTGCTGACGTCGACGAGCGAGGCCTCGACGCGGCTCCCGTCGGGGAGACGCAGTTGGTCAACGGGATTCCCCGTGGGGAGCGCCCGCCCCGTCTTTGCACCGGCGGGATCCAAGAAGCTGAGCGTGATGGGGGACTGCGTGCCCGGCACGCCGTCCATGGCGTAGTCGCCGCGCGGGGCGTACGCGAGCGGGCTGCCGCCGAGCTGGAACCGCGACACAAGGACCTTGTTGGTGTTTGTGTTGAGGATGCGCAGCGTCGCCCAGCGAGAGTCTGTGGCGGCGTCGTACGAGACGCGGGAGGCGAGCCGCGACGGCGGCACCAGGCCCATGTCCCACGCCGCGGGGCCGACAATGGCCGACATGTTGCCGCAGGTGCCGGCGAGGTCGAGGGCGCCGTCGCGGATGCCGACCTGGACAAAGGTGAACTCGGCGTCGACGGCGGCAGCGGCCGGCCCCACATCCGAGCCGGAGCTGGAGGCGGCGCCGGAGCTGCCAGGGGGCCCGACGACGACGACTTTGGAGGTGGAAGAGATGCCGGAGCCGACGCCGTCGAGCTGGCGGGCGTAGAGGGGATCCGGGGAGCCCATGGCGGGGGCGAGGATGGATTGCCACTGGGAGGGGACGGGCGGGAGGGAGGCGCGGTTGAAGAGCAGGCCGGTGGAGGTGCCGGAGCGGACGAACCAGGCGGGGAGGCGGCGCATTGTTGTTGTGCTGAGATTTGAGCTTGTGAGTTTGCCTTGGAGGGAGTTGTTGCGTATGAGCGTGGTAATGGAAAATGAGTGATGTTGTTGGGAGTATTTGTGTTGTTGGTTGATTCTTTGATGTTGAAATAACAAGGATAAAAATGAGGCCGAGATCGGGTTCCAGCTGGCACGACATGCGGTTGACGGAGATGATTTTACAAAGACTTGAGTTTTACCTCGGTACCTGCACTCTTTTCACTTGGATGAGAACACATCACCATTCTGCAGCGGGCAATTAGTCATCTGAGAATTTTCCGTTGCAGTGGCACTATTCCATAGGTGGGCAGCCCCATGCAAGAGAGAGAAAAAAAAAGAAAGAAAAAAACTCCAGTCCAAAACTTCATGTTGTCGTGATAGGCACTTCTGTAATACCGAATTGGCCCTTCTATAAAAGATTCAATCCGTCATAGTAGACATTGTCACCAAATACCTGTTTGCCCAATTGCAATTGCCCTGTTGAAAGCGCCGTCGATACCCAATTGCTCCCCAAATATCCGCAATGAAAGAAGAAGAAAAAAATACCCTATCCATGGTATCCGCTATGATGATGAATGCATGCATATCGCTGCTCCGACGGGGAGTGCAGCTCATAAGAAAGAAAAAAGGAGAAAAAAACAAGGTGAAAATAATGCTTTGTCCAGGAATCCCGCTTTGAACCCTTTTCTTTTTACCAGTTTTCCATTCCCACGAGGTTATTCCAAGAAAAATAAGACCCAAGAAGAACGTTTTGGGAAAAAAAAAAGGGATTCATGACAATGACATGGCGTTGAACCCATTACCGGCCGTAAAGATGTTGTCCAGCCCAGCGACCTTTTGACCTGCCCCTGGCCAGTCTTCGGCCAATGTTGCCAAAGCAGAGGCACGTGCAGAAGAGCACGCTGAGGATCCAGATGCCCGCCTCGACCGTCTCCTGACTGGCGATTCCGCCCAGCATCATGGCCGGCTCGGCCTGGGGCTGCTCTGCGTAGAAGCTGCCGTTGGCTTGCGCAAACGTGGTCGAGGGCGCACGGATAATGTCGGGGCTGACGCTCAGCAAAAAGACGGTTCCGGCGAGGCCAACGACGGTGGACACGACCAGGGCGGGCATGGTTCTATCAATCAACCACCAGAGGAACAAGTTGGCCAGTGCCACGGCCAATGAGACCTGTGAGCTTGATGTCCATGAGAGGCGGCGCTGCGTTGGAGGATGTCATGTCAGTCATGTTACGCAAACTCCATAGGGGGTGACACTGGGGTTTCGACTCACCACGGCAAAGGCAACGCCTACAAAAACGCCGATTGCTCTCATCACCAGCGCCCAGTCCGTCTCCGGCATGGGCTGCGTCTCGTCGTCGTCGTACGTGGATTCGACCGAAGCGACTTCCGTCTCGCCGCCGTCGCAGCCAAACAGGCCGTCCCACTCGCCGTCAACCCACGGCTGCAGCGCGCCCATGCCAACGCCGGCGAGCGCAAACCCCCACATGGCAGTGTACGATCCGTTGTATCGTGGCATCCCGCTGCCGGCGTCAGATAGCTGAAGCAGACCCTGTTCCTGGTGCAGGTGGGTGACGAGCACGCCGTAGCCAGCTCCCAGCACGAAGAGCACCAGGGCCCGCGAAGCCAACCAAAGCGCCCTGGATCCGGGGGCTGTGGGCTGTTTCGGGCGGTTCGTCTCGGTGCTGGCGTGCGACTGGCGTCTCGATCGATCGCGCATGAGCTCGTACGTAGCGCGACTGAGGCTGTCGCGCCGCTTCACGGGCGACCCGGCGCCGGTCCCCCAGGGGTTGTGCAGCTCCTCGTCATCGTCGCCCGCGCCATTGAAGACCTCGTCCTGGTCCGAACAGTCGTAAATGCCTGCCAGCGTCGAGGTGTTGAGGTCTGCGGTGGACCGCGACTGGGTGAGCAGCGTGGGAGAGTCGGGCGGAGAGTCGTCGGACGGCCGTGAACCGAGGAAGCCAGACTTGAGCAGGTCGCGGCGGAAGCGGGCGAGCAGGATTTCGTCTTCAAGACGCTGCTCTTCGCTGTCGCTTTCGTCGTCCTGGGGAGGCGTGAGGCTCTGCGGCTGAGGCGTGGAGCACTTGAGGTCGAAGACGAAGGGCCGGCGAGGGATGGGGCGGAACAAGGGAGGACCGTCTGCTGCTGTATCGTCGTTCATGTTTGCCGTGTCTCTCTTTTTTGTGTTTTTGTGTTTTTGTTTTTTTCTGTGTGTGGCTTTCCCGCTGAATTCCAACCAATGTCGACAATGTCTCGGAAAAAGAGCAAAGGTAAGTGAAATCTGGTGTTTCGTATGGTATCAATGGCAAGTCCAAGTCGGTGCAGAGCTGCTGGGGAGACGAAAAAGCCCGTGTTTTTAAAACGAAACTGAAGCCTTGGAGCAACGCTTGCGATGACGGCGTGGCAGCTCCACCGCTAAGGCTGGGATCTTGCGCTTCCGAAAGCGAATTGATGGTCTGATTAAGCTTCGGGGGGCCGGTGGATCCGCTGACGACGGAGGGCGAAGGAAAAAGGAGATGGAATGATGTAGGTGTAGTTTTGGGTGCTTGGTTCTCGTATTCTGCGAGTCAAGAACAAGAACAAGAAAACAAGAGTCAGTGGATGTTGCGTTATCACATGGCAAACGTGGCTCTGCAGACCATGATGCTCGGGTGGTAAGTTTTTGCTTTATGCATCATGTGTGTGTGTCGGGGCGCCAACAGGAGAAGGTGGATCGGGCCACAAGACAGACGAAGACGGGAATGGGAATTGGGAACGGGGCTGTCTTGTCTTCTCTTTTACTCTCCTTCTTCTTCTTCTCTTGATTTACATACCTTTTGTGCTGGTAATCAACTGATGCTGTTGCCTCTTGTTGCTGTTGGTTGTGCGCGTTTGTTTGCACCACGGCTCAAAAGGTACCTGACATAGACGCACAGCCTGCACCACCAGGGGGGGCGGCTAGATTCCGGGCTGCTGCAGATGGATTGCAGCTTGTTGCTGGGGGACGAGCGGAGATGGCCGTATCGGTTCGGCTGAACCCGACCGGATGCAAAGGAGAGAGAGAGAGAGTCGGATAGTGAGATGTATCGTAGCAATGATGATACTAGTTGATAGCAGAGCAGAGCAGAGCAGAGCAGAGCAGAGCAGAGCAGAGCAGAGCAGAGCAGAGCAGAGCCCAAGAAGACGGGAGGGGAGGGGAGTGGCGTCGAGCTGCCTTTAAATCGGCGTCCAGTGTGTGCTTCAATGGCTGCGAATTGAAACTCGTCTCGGCCCAATCTTGCTTGACATGGACTCTCTTCCCACGTCTTTATACATACAGTACACACAACAACACAACCTGAACGAACACAGGCAAAAGGAACGCAGCGCATTCGTCAAAAGGCTCAAACTTTGGCTCTTATGCATGCAGCCAACAAAAAGAAAATACCCGAACAGGCACATGACTAGGCCTAGGCGGGCAATATTGGCCCCCTTTCAACGGCACCCTGGCAAGGACAGTGTGAATTCTGCTGCGCGGAACTTGTAGATGTAGCTTCAACAATATTCACCTGGAGATGCAGCATTGTTGTGTCGTTGCTCGAGAATGGCTACATAGAATACGCACTCATTGCCATTGTGACCAGGGAAACCAGCAGCTTTGAATAAATCGTCCAAAAGGATCTGCATAAGGTACCTATGTTGTATAGGTACCTGTATATAACCAGCCGGCTAATGTTATACGTGCACCAGACACCAGAGGCATGGAACACGCGCAGCACAGATGATGTACATTGCATTTGATCTCTCAACAGACATCCCCCCCACCTCGCACAAACTGCATTCAGCCTCTTTTGACAGCGGCAACTCTCTGCTTGAACCATTTCGAACCAAAGAGCCTCAACTGACTTGATTTGATACTTTAATGGATGGCATGGTATTGATGACTCCGTGTCCCGGCCTGTGCCTATCCGCTACATGTATCCATCAATACTAGGTACTAGGGAGTCACCGCCATCAACGGACCGTTGAAGAAAACGCCACAACTCTCGGGTTATTCAAACCATCAACATCTCACATGTCTAGTTTAGGTAGTTCCAATGCATAATAACAGCATGTCATACATACAGACCGTCTGCCTCCTCACCTGCAAAAGATTCAATGGCAAAGCACGAGACCACCACCAGCAGCGCAGATCCCTTAGTACTCGTACTATAGCATCTGGTACATACAGGTCGTACATACCTCAGTACATTACCTGTTAGTGCCTTGTAGCCCCGGGATTTCCCACACTGTGCCATTTAGAGCCCTTTTTTCAAGGGCATCTCTTGGGCGCTGCTCCGCATGTCAAAGCTGCCCTGCCAATGTCCGCTTTCGCCGCTCATCACGAGGGACGGGCATCTATTTCACGGAATCCCCCTTCTCCAAGGGATACGTCAATACTAGTAGAGACAAAGGGGCGGCTTTTGAATCAGGGGGAATCATGGAAGACGAGTTCTCGGTTCTGGTACCTACGGCAGGTATGTATAGAACCCATGTTGAGGCAGCCATAATGTGCCAATGCTGTACCTCGTGCACGCGCGGAATTAAAAACTCAACCTATCGAGAAAAGGAAAAAAAAAAATAAAACAATACAGTAGGCGCCAAAGCAGACAAGAATAAATAAAACAAAAAAGTAAAGTCAGTCAGCTGGGCTGCAATTTCTCCGCACAAGCGACCCCCGGCACAACTCTATCCCACCCCGTTTTCCCCAGCATCGTCAAATCACCACGCTTCCTCACCCCTCCCTTCTGTTACACCCTTCCTGCTACTCGTACTAGTACTACTACTAGTACTCGTATATACATACATACATCTCCGTCCAGAAACTGGCACATGTACGAGATACGAGAGGGGGGTTTAAGTTGCCGCCGAGCATGACATTCCCTCTCCTCCCATTGGCTGTCTCATCTTTAGTCACGATATTCTCTCTTTCTTCCTCGTTTCATCGCCTAGCCCAGGGGATAAAAGGCGTGCTCCGGGCCAGGAACCAAAAGGCGAGTCAGAAGCTGGCCGTGCCGCACTTGACAACCTCAAAGTCTGGACGGGAGCCACGGGGACAACGGCGGTTTCGGGCATCCATCTTGACATGTGACAATGCATGTTGTGTTGACCGCGTCTCATCCTCCCCGCATTTTCAATATACTCGTGCATGCAAGTAGTACATACCTAACATGTACGAAGAGCTCCGTACGTACATAGGTACATCAATTAGTACTCAATCATCAATCAGGCGAGTACTTTGACCACGAACAAGCATCTCAAGACGGCCGGCAGATGTTCCCATTACACTAGGAAGCTGCTGACAGTTTGTTAGGTGTAATCGGAGATGCCATCTCCTGTATGTGCTTCATGGATATGACTGACCAAGTCCTGGCCTCTGCCCAACTTACCGCCCTTCAACTCAATTCAGCATCTGCTGTACTGGCGGCCAAATTCGGGTAAAGACTTCTCCCTCAGGTTTCGCCGAATCGTTGAACCAAGTCAGAGACTCAATGGTTATGCCGCGCTTGGTTGGCTGGAACTGAATCGTGTAATACTGTGCATCGTGGACAAGGGGAAATTCACGCTCGGCCAGTTGATTCCACGACGGGAACCATGTAAATGTATCTCCATGATGATGATGTAGTGGAAGCCGTGGGAGTCGGGTACCCCAAAAAGCCACTTCAAGGGGGCTCTTTTTTCGTCCTGGCCCTCCTTCGTCCTCATCTCTCTCTTCTTTGCCCAGGTGTCTCGAGAAGAATGACCGCTTCCAAACGCCGATGACAACGCCTGAAACAGCGCTCTTGTATCGTCCATGGTAGTGCCTCAGAGACCTCTCGGGTCCTTTGGTTTGTCGGCCTTGTCGTACTTTTTCAGCGAGCTCATAATACTTTTGGCGCGCGTTGCGGGCGCTCAGTCCAGCGAGAAAGGGGTAGTTATTCTTGTACGGGTTGCCCAGAGTCGCCTGGATCAGGAGCTGCCCGATCCAGTCGGGCGCGTCGTCGCCCGTCGTCGTGTTGCTCAGCACTATCACCGCGGCTTCGTATTCCGGCAGCAGGCCGACGAAGCCGTGGGTGCCGTGGTACCTGCTCTGGTTCCAAACCAGCGTGGCCGGCGCGCTGCCCGTTCCGAGCTCGGGCATTTGCGTCTTCATCAACTCCGGGTTGGCTCCAATATCTTCAATGACGGCGGGTAGCGTGCAGGTCGCCCAGCCAGCGGCGTGACTCTTGTTTGCCTTTTCATCCGCTCCCATGGCTTGGAGCGGATTGAACAGCAAGTCCACGTCTGGAAAGACTTGCTTGCGCCTGAGCGTCTGGACTTCCGCATCCTTCGTGTGGCGTTGACGTTTCCATGCCTGGTTGAGGGCGATGCAGTACTTGGCCAAATCATTGGTGGTGCTCATCATGCTTCCAACGGCCACTGATGGCAAGTGGTTGTGTGACCAGGCAGAAAAGCCCCCGGGTTGGTAATGTACGAACAGTCGGCCATTGACTCCAACGCTGTACCTCCGGGACGTGTTCTTATCCCTATCAAATGTTGTATCCCGGGCCACTTGGGTACGGGACATCTGGAGAGGCTTCAGGACATTTTCTTTAAGGTAGTCTGCATACTTTGGACTGACAATGTTCCCGAGAAGGGCGTAACCGATACCATTGTGTAGGAATTGAGATGGCAGAATCGCCCGAGGCCCAAGGTTCTTATATACCTGAATAACCGTCTTGTCGTTTATTACATCGCGGTTGAAGTCGCCAACGCTGGACGTTTGTGGCCAGTGATCAGACGATTGAAGTCCTGTGCGATGGCCGAGAAGATCGCCGACTGTCGCATCACTGGTCTGTAATTGGGGAAGAAAGTCTGAAATTTTGTTGTCATAGCTAAACCCCCCCTTTCTGTACACCTGCTGAGCCACGCAAGCTGCCGTGAAGCCTTGGCTCAGAGCGCCAATGGGGAAAATGGTGTCTGAATCCACGGGTTTCTTTTCGCTCATGTCGCGGTAACCCATGTTTGCCGTCCATATGATTTCGCCCTTGAATACGACGTGACTGGCTAGGCCAACGATGTGATTCTCCTCTACTATTTCGGCAATCGCATCGCGGGCCTTGTCGAGACGTTGGACTATTTCAGCCGGGGACCCGGCGATGGCTTCTGCCCTATGGGCTCCTGGGTCAATATCATAATCACCCATAAGGAAATGGTCAGCTTACATTGTGTGTTGAATCTTGTTTCCAAGTGTTGCAAAGTAGAAAGGCCGCTGTTGGGCAAATTGGTGACTCCGACGAGCCAATGCAACTGGGGACTCAAGGCAATATTTATACCTACCAAGGTATGTGTGATGCGATCCGACATAATGTGAACAAATGCCTTTCAAATGCCATCACGGCTTGTCCGGTCCATTGGCTCAAGAGTGTTGTGAATATGAAAGGCCTGCAAAGGAACCGCAGCGGCACATGCGTTCCCAGCTCGTCTTCCAGCCGCCCTTTTTTTGTCTTTTGCGCCGTCGAGATACCGTCTCCAAACACCAATGCCTTGCTTGCAAGACACCATCTCGTCTTTGCTGCTTCACTTGGTTCAATTATGTGGCTTTGCCACACGCGGCAAAGGAAGTGGAAGTCGAGAAGAACAGAACTGCATTGTTCTGTTCTAATTTGAGACCAAGAACAAAGGAAGAGTAAGTGTCTATAAAAAACGAATCCGTCCAACCACCCCGCGGCAACATCCGGTCTAGAAAGAAGAAAGAAGGTCTGACAATGCCCAGTCTAGAACAAGGAAGAACCAAGTGTCATGTCCAATCCGGAACAAAGCAAAAACAAACCAAACAACACAAAACCAAGTCAAGTCAAATAAAAATAGCACAGAAACTCAACAACCTCGACTCTCACACGAATCAAAACAAGATTGAACCCAAATGACCAGAAGAACCAAATCGTGTGCCGAGCCACATGTTCCTCCCCTTCCGCCTCCTTACAAGTCCTCTCCATCCGGCGCCTGTCACGATACACAGCCACATACACTATTGATGCTGCTCATGGATGCTGCTCTGTGAATTGGCTGGTGCCATTAGATCAGGCGCTCTTCCGCTCACGTCCGTGTGGATGTCTTTTACATGCCTAGCAGAAGCCAGGTTCGCCTCATAGTGAAAAGCCCTTTCACTCCAAGATCGCCTTTCGAGATAGAGGACCGTCCGTATACATGCCTCAACGTAAATTGCACACACTTCGCAAGATATTTTGTGCAGACGCTCGTTCTCATGGTATAGGTCAACGTATTCTTCTAAGCACGGTAGCTGTGTTTCAAGGCCATCAAGCAAAGCTTGTATGCTGGAGGAAACACACGCAAAATTGGGTAGGAATGCTCTCTTAGGCCTACCAAAATTCCCATTCTCGACCTGTTGGGTAGCGCTGCCATGAGCAATGGTGAAAAGGCAAACGCTCTTCTCCAGGGGACGGACATCAGATGCCTGCATCTGGCCGTTTGTCATTAGAACAGAGCAAATTTCTTGGGACAGAAACAATATGAATAGTGACGGATACGCAGTCATGAGTACATCCAACAGATTCTGCTCCCAAGTCCACTGAATTGATGCCTCCACCCTCACCCTCAGCTATCGCCGTTGCCATCTCTGCTGATGCAGCGCCTTAACCTCCAAGTCTAACCCCGGAATCGGTCCTTCAACCTGGATGTGCGGCGCAACAGCATTGATCGGAAGCGCCGCCACGGGGCCCTTTGCGACTCCGGCCTCTTCCATCCAGCTCTGGTACTGCGCCGTGGAAGAAACATAGACGATCCGGCCCAGCCCGACATACGCGTGGGCGGCCGCACACATGGCGCAGTGCTCGCCCGAGGTGTAGACGACGGCGGAGGCGCGGGCCTCGGGCGTGAGGTTGAGTTGCGCCCACCGGGCCAGCGTCAGTTCGGGGTGCAGCGTCGCGTCGGCCTGGAAGTTGCCTGCTTCTCCCGTGACGATGCGGTTGCGGTCTTTGTGGAGGATGGCGCCGTCTGCGTCGACTAAGACGGAGCCGAAGGGCGAGTCGCCTGCTTCAAGGGATTCGCGGGCGAGGCTGACGCAGAGCTTGAGGGCTTCTTCTCGGTTGACCATTGCGGTGGTTTGTGTTTGTGAATACGGATGCTTGGTGTTTGTTTTGAGAGGGGTTGAGGATGAGAGAATGGCTGTCGTGGATGTCATCGAATGGTCGAGGAGATGAGGTGAGCCGTAGCACCAGTTATGGGGTCGTGTAAGTGGCTGAGTTGGGATGAGGGGAAGATGAGTGCCGACGAGGAGGAATGGATATTTTCAACCGTGTAAATATCAAGCACATTGTATTCCACGATGATTTCATCTTCTTTGTCTCATTCATCAACTGCAATCCGTGGAGCAATGTATGTAGTTGGCATTTTTGGCTGTGTGGTTGGTTCGTTCTATGGCGGGTTTACGCTTGTGCTTGTGTTACGGCGGTAGCTTGCATTAATCCGGTGCTAGTGATACGTATCCTGAAAGCGGACGAATGTTCAATAGAGACATTTTCATGGCCTGAATAATCAAGCGTTGCCATTACTACGTCTTCAGAGGGCGCAATGAATTTGACACAATTATTAATCGCCTTGTGATAGTATACCTAGTATCGAGTGTGGGGGAATCCTTGTGTCCCATTATCTACTAATACCGACTTCAGGCAATCCTTTAGATAGTACCTACGGACTGATCACGATTAAGACGCCCTCCGAGTATATGAAACAACAATTGGACGCCTTCCCCCGACCATTTAAGCGTCATTATAAAAACCACAAAATACCCCTCGTCTTCCAAAATGGATACCCAAAGCCAATAATCCAATCCATAGACTGACTCGAATAGAGAAACAATCGAAGCCATCCGCACCGCATACATGCATGTCGGCCCGACAAGTGGGGTGACCACGCATATAGCAATAACCCGCGCCGCTTAACTGCATGCAAGCGCCCAACAACGGGAGCAGACATGCAAGTATGCGAAGCACCAACGAGCAACTCACCGGCCTGGAATAGGAAATCCACGACGAAACTAACGGCTGACTACAGCGTTCGGCCAACCCAACTTACGTCAGGCTTCACATCCGAACCAAACATGAGGAAGGCCATTGGCCGTCATCGGAACTTCTCTCCACCCCTTGCAGCGGGTGTCTGAGAAGACGAGAGAGTATAAACACCCTTGAGAGCCTTGATCCAATACTTCTTGTCCATTCTCTCTATACTCTCTGCCTTATATACTCTGTAGCACAGAAACAACAATATCTAGCCTCTCTCTCTCTCTCTCTCTCCATCTTCCATATAAACCATAAATCATCACTCACTCACTACATTCATTCATCACAATGGCACCACCCACTGCCACCGCCACCGAGGAGGAACACAGCCAGCAGCGGTCCATCATCAAGATGAACGTTGCCTCCGCTGTTGAGGAGGAGGAGATGGAATCCCAGCTGGACAGCCTCAGCCGCGGCCCCAATCCCCTGCGAGGTACAACCATCCCCTTTCATCACTCTCACATTCATGAATATTCATCTCCATTGCTCTCACACCCTACCTGATGACTACTACCTATCGATTCATATTCATTCCATCTCATGAGACTCCCCCCCTCTGCAATACCTCACCCCCAACATCCATCTCCAGCTAACCACCCGCTCCCATCAGGCATCCCAACTTTCCCCTCCTTTCACGAGCACCGCAAGCACATCGTGCTGCACATGGCCGCCGTCTTCCGCAACTGGGCCCGCCACGGCTACACCGAGGGCATCTCCGGCCACATCTCCGTCCGCGACCCAGAGTTCCCGGACCTCATCTGGATGAACCCCATCGGCAAGCACTTTGCCCTCCTCAACGGCAGCGACATGGTCTGCTTGAGGATCAGCGATGGTGAGATTGTCGGCGGTAACCGGGTATGATGATGATTCCCCTTATCTATGGATCGTAGGGCATCAAACTGACTATTCTTGTAGACTCGCCCCGTGAATAACCCGGGCTACTACATTCACTCCGAAGTCCACAAGGCGCGCCACAACATCCACGCCATCTGCCACGCCCACACCATCGCCGGCCGTGCCTGGTGCGCCTTTGGCAAGCCCCTTGACATGATCACCCAGGACGTGTGCGATCTCTACGGGGTTCTCGCCGTGGACACCGAGTACGCCGGCATCGTAACGGCCGAGCAGGAGGGCAGGCAGATTGCAAAGGCGCTCGGCCCCAAGGGCAAAGCCGCCCTGCTCATCAACCACGGCATCATCACTGTTGGACAGACGGTTGATGAGGCTGCGTTTTTGCTGGGCTTGGTGGAGCGCAGCTGCGAGATCCAGCTCAAGGTGGAGGCTGCCTGCGCGGGCAATCCGAGCTTGAAGAAGAGTATTATTCCGCACGAGTTGGCGATGAATAACTACAAGATGGCGGGGGAGAAGCATTGGCTGTATGAGGAGGCTCAGCCGGATATTGAGCTTGAGATTGAGCTGGCGGGGGAAATCATTTCGCGGGGCTTGGATGATGTCAAGATTGATACGCCATAAGGGTGGCAAGGAAAGGGAATTGGAAAGATGGTAAATTGATGAATGAATAATTGATACGCATATGACTTTGACTATGATTTCTTTTCTCTTCAGTTGTACTAACCCTAACCCTGTACTACTGTCGTGAGGACTGCTACTCCTTATCAAGATCCATTTCTACTTGGGAAACTTGTCGAACTTCCGGATAATGATATATCCTGTATGATGATTGCACAAGGTGATACAAATTTCAATACAAGAGTGTTATAGAAGAGGTAATATATGTAATAGCAGCCCTGTAATATTGAAGACCTATGCTATGCTACCATATTGTGTAGTTCATGGCTAGAACAGTTTAGTGTCATCACAACAAAGCACACAAATTCTATCCATTTTCAGCCCGATCCAACGCCCAACATCTCCCTCCCAAATTCTCTTCGAAAATTTCTATAAATGCTCTAAAGTTCCTTGTCCCACTTTCATGCCTACCTTATTTGATTTCCGTCCACGCGGCCCGGGCCATTCTCGCCAGTCTCCGCAGATCCCGAACCGGATGCCCGCATGCCAGGGAAAGCTCTCTCCGCACCTGTGGAACAAACGGCACGACGTGTCTCGACTCGAACAACCTCGGCAGCGCACCGACAACTTCCAGGGCCAGCTTTCCACATTCGGC